TTACACATTCTATTCAGGTGCACTCTGAATCATGTTAGTACTACATGAGACCCATCTTGTAAGCTTTCAAGTCTTAAATATTGTCCCGCTGGTTTGATTACCTGTTGTACCCACACTTCGCAATCAATCCCTTCAGCAGTTTCATTTTGCATTTACCATATGCATGATAATCAGAGCAAACAATTAGTTTATTAAACATGCACTGACCCAGGTCCATATTTACATGAGTGATTATAAGACGAACAACTGCTTGGCTTCCTCCTGAGTTCCCAGGTTGAGCAATTTAAATGCTGATTTGTAGGTTTTAGTTCTGGATATAAGTAGTATTACTGCCAGAAAAGTGAGATCTAATGTCCATAACGTTTGTAATAATTCATCTCTTCTTAGAGATCTTCTTGGTGAGGGGTGTTGGGAGGAGGGGTTAGTTCTATATGTAATCACTCACATCAGTCCCAGAGTTGATTGTTTATTAATACTTGTTGAGTTTAATTTGAATAGTGTGGATCTTACTGCCACACCTATTATTGCTCCTCGTAGGACCAAGGATACCAAACATTTCAGCTGTTTGATGGTGATTGGGTTAGGGGTCTGGAAGGGCTATGGGTCACCTCGCTGTCTTCCCCCTCTCCCTCCTCCTCCTCCTCCAGGCTCTCCTGGTCTCTCCCTGGGGGTCATCTCCTCAGTGGAATGTTCAGCCCGTTACCTGCATCGCTTTAGTTGAGCTTTGAAAACAGGAACTTTGTGTCCACTGTGACTAATTGTTTTTGGATTCAGTATTTTCACCACTCTCATAGGCAGGTGATACCTTATCTTCAGAGCCCCTTTTTTGATATTTTCCATACTACTTGATCCCCTTCTACAAACTCACATTTCCTTTCTCTTCATTATTAACCTTGATCCATGACTTGAGAGCTTTTTCATAGTCACTTCGCTGTACTATATGAAAACCTTGTGGTAAGGGAGTTTGCAGGTGTCGCCTGTGAAATAGCAAGTATGGAGTGTGGGTAGTTCCAGTAATATATCTAATTGAACCCTGTTATTACCCATGGGAGTCTCTCACCCCATCCACCTTTTACACCTATATTTGCTTTCTTTAAGGCTGTACTCTACTAACTGCCCCCAATTGTACCCATAATTTCTGCCCTTCGTCCTCTGTATCTTCCTCTCCTATTTATAAATTTATAAATATAATAATCCTTGCATTTGATACAGCACCTTATCATGTCTTGAAAGTGCTCCACAGAAAATACTGTAAAGTGAATTGAGTTTGTGGGCAAAACGCGGCAGCAAGCGCACAGCAGTGTCCCACAAACAGTCGTGGATTGAGTGACCAATTTATCTTTTTTGTTTAATATTTTTTGAAGGAATTATCACCCCTGGAAAAGTGATCTGCCAATCAACTAACAATTTGGTTCTATTTCCTCCTTACTGTTTGGCTTCTGTCAATGTCCTCTCCTTCGGGTCTGAACTCCTTAACATCCCCGGGCTCTCCCTCAGACTCTCCGATCCCATGCGCAACTTTGGCGTCAGGTTCGATCCCCAGTTTTTTGTTCTACCACACATCCGTTCCCTGACCAGGACCGCTTTTTTCCGCCTGAGCCACATTACCCGCCTCTGTCCATACCTCTAAACCAACGCAGCCGAAATCCTCGTCTACGCCTTCATCACTTCCCAACTATTCCACAAACTCCCTTACCACAAGGTTTTCATATAGTACAATCCTTCACTTCTCATTTTTGGCGAAGACACAAGCGATCTCAAGAACCACCCACAACACTTTATCTTAAACCATTCTCATTTATTCAAACAAGTAATAGTCTACAACAGATTTTCCAAATGTGGAACAGTGATGCAAAAATAAAAAACTAGCACATAGGCAATACTTTAAAAATACTTAGCTTAAGCGGACTTTAATACAACACGCAATCTTATACTTTAAGACTTACTGAACCTTAATAAACAAAGACTGCTTGGGAAACACAGAAAAAGTAATTTAACCAATTTTACCTCTTCCAAGAAGGTTTGGAATCTGAGTGGTGCTATATCCATCTCAGACCTTTACACCCTTCCCCGAATTTAGCTAAACTTCCATCTTTTATAACCCATTTTAGACCCTTACAACCAAAAACGGAATTCAAAGGTTGTTTTGTCCAATTATATTCAAAGATCAATTAGCCAATCATATTCCCAAATTGGTTCATCCAATCATCTTTTCACACACAGGTGACACCCCGAACTTATCATGTTTTAATGTTATGAGGATTTGGAAGGTTTTCGAGGCCCTTAGTACCAAGTGTGAAAAGTTTATTTCAACACTTAATTTTCCTTCTTTGACACCTTAAAGTCGTAAATTCTTATAGTATCTCAGACATTGAGGCACTAACCTGGTGTATACATCAGGACTGTTTTACACCTGTTGAACACACTGCCCATTTACCCAATGATATTGGTGTATTGATAAGGCCCCCAAAGTTGATAAAACCCAAAAAATAACAAGCTCCAAGAAGAGTATCAGTCCCTTAACTGACATCATTGTGAACACCGATTCACCTCATGATCAGTTGTGTATTTTAATTTAAATTCTTTGTTACAATCTTTTATCTTTAATTCTTGTTATAACCTTTCCTTACAACTACTGGTCAGTAGTTCCCAACACATATCTTTACCCGATATTTCCCAAGTGCTCACTCTTTCTCTGTCCTTTATCCCTGCTTTTGCTCCCTAGCTAAGCTCATACTACATTAATTAATATTTTATAATATCTCTCCTTTTCTCCCTCTTACTACACTAATTCCCATTTTACACTACTTCACAATACACAATGGATTTATATTGGTGAATTGATGTGGTGCTGAGATTACTTGCTTAACGATGATCTCAGGAGTTGGGCTCTGGTGAGATTTGTTTTGTGATTGTGTTGTACCCAAAATGTTCAGTGGAACACTTTCATGAAAATAGTTTGAATTTGCGGCTGTACCACAGCAAAAGCACAGCATTAGATGCGGGAAAAAAAACTCCAATCCTTAAGAGTTGAAATATGAGCAGAAATGCATGTAATTTACTCGCTAAAAATTAAACTTTTTGTTTAGTCCAAGAAGAGCATGAAAGCTTTTTGTCCATGGATGACATGACAGCTGAGACTGGTTCTGCAATGGTCCGATGTCCAAACACGCACTTTCAGAAGGAGTGGGATAAGAGGGATCGTCAGTGCAAACCCTGATGGGGTTTATTTTCCCAGTTATAACTCCCTCTACTGCAGCCCTGACTGAGATAATAACAATTTACATTGATAATAGTATCATCATTTAAAAAAAACTTCATATGCACTACAAAATAAGATCAATTAGAAATGAAGTGATTATTGTGAAGTAAGCAAATGCATCACTGAATTATGTGCTTTTAAAAAAAGCAACAATAAGTTGAATAGAAAATTAATTTGGCTGAAGAGGGAGTATAAGAAAGTTTTACTGAGAGACAAAATACTTTGAAATAGCATTCAAGGTGACTGGTATCCTTAACATCCCCTGAATCACAAGGCAGATGGACTGTAAATTAATGACTCAAAGCAAAATCAATGAAGTGTGGAATAAGTTTGTGTTGAACACAACATATAATGTGGGCAATCTGCAGCAGCAGCATCCCATGAACAACAATGAGGTGAGGAGTAAAATTGATTTGAATTTTTGGGGTTGAGTTAGCATTAGGGAGGAAGAGAAGAGAGAGTTAAAAAGGCTAAAATAAGATGGAAGACTGAGGAGTTGAGAGCTCAAGACTGGAGTGGGGGCCAAGCTCGCATGCGGGGAATTTCGAGGCCAAGATTAGGCACACTATAGCTTCTGTTTATCTTTCTGTGGCTGTTTGGCTGGTAACATGGAATCGGTCCCTTGAGTTGGACTCAGACGCCTTCTTTCTTCAACAGGTCGGAGACACTAACGTAGGACAGATAAGGGAAGTCAACAGTTAGAAAGGATGGACTCAATTAAGAAACTGCTGAACACTAAATTGTGGTTTATTTTACACATGCAAATAGTTTTAATATGATGCACCAACCTGCTCTTTACCTTGCAGTATTAGTCTCAGAAGGGCCCTGGTAGAGGTGTATTAGAGACTAACAGGATAAAAAAAAAGCAAGCCTGGAATGGTACTTTCAGGTACACCAAGGGAGCAGGATAAGAAGACACAAGTTAGAATTGTAAAAAGCATGTTTAGGACACAAACCAGGAAACCATCTGTGAATTTGAAAAATGTAACCCCTTTTAATATTTATAAACAAGAATTCACAATTAACGCAACTAATCTGGTTCAGGAATTTCCACAAATAGATCCTGATATCTTAAAAGAATGTATGTATTAAAACACCTATGCAGGGAATATATTTTGCACCAGAATTTCAGGCTATTGAACGATTGACTTTTAATGCCTGTGGTTTGCTAACAAACAGGCTGTAAAGTGATCGTCAGTTCAGTAGAGTCACAGTACAAAATGGTGAGTCGTTAATTATAAACTGACTGCAGACATTAATGTTTGTTGCATTTTTCCACTGAAATTGAGAAGTGAATATTGCAGCAAATTGCTTTCAGAGTTTGAATGGAAAGTGCCTGAACTCTCAGTCCTTGAGCCGATCAGTACCCACAGTGCTTTTACAGTAATGCACACCGATGCCTTTCATAACCTTTCATAACTGCAAATAAATGTCATTGCAAGATTAAACTTAAGCAGTTTAACATTCCAAAGTTGTCAAAGTTTTTCTTTGATCTTTTGAGCCATTATTCATTTAAGCAGGCCAGTTATTTCCCAGAAAGAACAGACTTGCATGAGTGCTATAATCTTTATGTGTCTTATTGTGTAGTTTATTTAGTATGGCTCAAACTGATTGAACTCAGAATTAACGTAGAAAGTGTGGCACTTTAAGATACTAAATTCCATAATATTTCAAGCTGCCATCCAAGGATTCTTTAAACTTTCAAACTAACATTATTTCTCCCATTTTCTGTCTACAGGGTGATGTGATAGAATATATCGATGATCTTCTGGAAGTACAAGGGCCTAGCAAATCTCAGTGACAAAATCTGGTCAGCGACATTAAGCAACAAGTTTGAACATTCAGATTTATACAGAAACTGGCGAAAAGCACACACTTCTTCTCTATTCCCTCCACTGTTTGAGGATATTTATCCACCCCGAGCGCACACTGAAGAACCTGCAACTGCATGTCCAAATGACCTCTGCTGGTTCATCACCACAACTTTCCTAAATTCTCCAGTTTAGCTTACAGAGGTGCCTCTTTGTAGTTCTTTGCTGCATTGTCTCCTATCTAGTGTCGATAGCTGTTGATATAACAGGAAGCTGTTTTTGTTTCTCACTCTATACTTCCCAATTTAGTTTTCTCTGTGATAGTGTAGAAATGGTTTGTTTCTGCAGCTGAATTTCAATAACCCAAGGCAATCACTGCCTTTCTCCCATTTGTTCTGAGGCTGCTTTCCTGTAAGGAGATGTAGTGATGCTTGAATGTCTCTGCAGGAATATTGCATTAACCATGGGTTCTTGTTGAATGAAGAACTCTTTTTAAAGCCGATTTCCTCCCCTTCAATCAGAATATAATCTTGCCTTTTCAGTTCTAGTTAAAACAAACCACAAATAATAATTGATTTAACTACTATTCGGCCCTCTTTGTTTCTTTGCTCGCATTGCTGCTGCACGTTGCTTAAGACTGTTGCCTTGATCAAATTAAAGCCAGGCATAACAATAATTAGTTATATTGGGTATAACATCTATCAGCAAAATTCCCTATTTGGCATCATACATAAAGGACCTTCTGCCTAACAAAAACAATTTGGGGAGATTATATTTAAGAAAGGCACTGCATAATGTGATTGTTACTCTGCGTAATAATTTAAGTGTTGCATTTGAAGTTTGAAAATATTCAAAGGGGGAATGATTTCGGACGCTGGATAGATCCACGTTATTGGACAAAAGAGTTAAAATAAAACTTTCATTGTCTTTATAGTTGTAGAATTTAGAATTATTCAGGCAGGAAACTCGTATATGTGTGTCGATTATAATCCTGTGGAAAGACTCTAAACCAAACTGGTTTTATACTTTGCTACAGTTAGCTGCAATGTGAAGTGCCCGTGCCAGAGATAACATTGACTCATTTAATAATGTTTGAACATAGAAGCTTGATGCAGTTTGTAGCATGGCAGTGAGAAAACCCCACAACCAATCCTTCATTTGAGCTGTCGGGCGTCTGGACATTTGGTTGAGAGCCATGCTTCAAACAGCAACTCCTTTTAAGCAGAGGTGTGGGGGCTTGAATAACCCAGTGTAGAATACGCTCAAATATTTAAAGTTGGTGAAAGATTAGAAATTCTCACAAAACAACTGTAGCTTTGATAACTCAAATGTACAATCTTTATGATGTTTTGGAAAAAAAAGTAAATTTAATGTCATTTCAATTTGCAAGAGAGCATGTATTATTGGAAGTCTGGCATAATGAATACCTTTGTTCCTTATTGCGACCAGGTTGATCAAAGTTGCCCTTAAATTCTTTCTATATTTATCTCAGGTCACAAACTCCCTGGTCTTTTTATGTATAGTCTAAACTAGTTGAAAAGACATGAAAGAAGTAATGCCATGCATGTATGTAACTTTTCAGATTTATTTTTGATGATAATTTAAAGCAGATTGTCAAGACAGAGCACAAACAATGTGGGAAAAGTCACCTTGTGTATTGACCCAATAATCTTTCGCAACATAGCACAGTATAATCCAACGAGGGCTTTCTGTTTTTCACCTCTTCCTCTGTTGACCGTGAATTGTATGTCCTGCTGATAAATCTTGCTTTTGTTTTCTTCTTCCTCAAATCATCTTAGTGAAACAGATTTTTCTTATATATGTATTACTGCCGGTACGTTCAATTTTGTTACATTATAAAAAGAAGTTGGATAAGAACTGTACAACTAAATTGGTGCCTTAATACTAATAAAAATATTTTTTACTTTTTCTGAAAAGATTACTTTGGTATATTTATTTGTTATATGGCCCCACACAGATTTTCTAACACATTTTTTTCCCTTGGTCAGTATTTTTCAAAACTATGTGAGGCCATTCATCAAAAGATCATTGTATACGAAACCGGAATAAATATGTAGAAACTTTCCAACTATTATAAGTCATTGCCATTTCCTTGAAAAGAAGTATAAAGTATTCATTAGTTGTAATAGTTTAGACTATATTATACTGAAACACATGCAAATTGTTGTCATTTTAACATACTGAAATTATTTACAAATCTTTACACTTCTGGCTGCAGCCAGTCAAGATCACCAACCCTCCCTTTTCAGAAGATTCCTAAGGATTTCTAGTCTTCTAATTTATAACTGTTAGTGTATCAAACCCAGTGAGACTATGCCTTTGTAAACGAGAATAAATGGGCATTGATAAACATAACCCCCCCACCCCCCCAATTCCCTCCCTCCCCCACCCCCCCATTATAAAATTGTTTTCCAATTTGTTGTGTCCACTTGACTGATTCAAGCTCAATGTCCATACTGCATTCGCTAGGTATTTTGAAGCATACTTCTGTTGATTATTCAAAGCACATCAGAACTAAGATGACTCTTTCAGTACCACAGTGTTTTCCATTTTGTAAGGTGGAGTCAGCTCTGAAACGTCCACTGTGATTTTGTAGCTGGTAATTAGCGCCTCCTTAACAAGCAGATCCGTGTTCTCTCCAAATTACACTTTTTGCTGCATTTCAATTTGCTCACCACGCCTCGTCTGCCCTTTTCCGTTCATCTCATACACAGATGTTTTCTGATGCCTCCTTTTGTAACACCACAAGGCCAGTATAGATGCCAGTGCAAGCAAACCGATCGCAATGACTATAATGGCAATCATGGGGCCTTTGCTTGAGCTTGGGCAGTCTTCCCCAACACAAGGCTCAGATGTGGGCATGAGCTTGGCCTCAGTGTCTCCTGTGAAGTTCTCTATTTTGGGGAAGTCGTCGTCATCAATGTCAATTTCTGTAAAAACCATTGGAGTCTGAGTACTGGGTTCAAGTGTGTCTGAATCCAGAGTGTGGTAGGTTGTAGGTTTGCCTCTTTCTGTAGGAACTGGAGCATGATCGACAGGGTGCAAGCTCTCACCTGTTGTTTCTACAGTGGTTGTGAAAAACACTGACGGCTCAGTAACAGCATCAAAAGATTTCAGAGGCTCTTCCGTGACTATGCCTGAAGGTGTGGTAGTGAAGTGCTTGACGTCGTTGATCGCTTTACTGGCACTCACATTTTCTGGTGCTGTGGTGAGCGTCAGACCTACGCCAATTTGTTTGACTCCCTGGTCAGGCATTCCCGTTGGCGCCATTAGAATCTGTGTATAATCAGTGGCTGAAGTGCTTGGCGTGTCTGCCCTGCTGATCTCAATGTGATTTGAGTGATCTGTGGTGATGACTGTCTCATCATCTGTTTCCATTGATCCGTCAACCTTCTCACCTTCCTCCTCACTTTCAGATGCCACGGGATAGCCATCCAGCCATGATTCATCAGTGCTAGCCACTGTTTCCTTGATGACTTTAGTTTTGTTGTGCACAATGGAAGACTCAATCAGGAACTCCTCGTTTTCCGTTTTCACCCCTTCAGTAACCTCTGTCTTTCCTCCAATCTGATTATCGCTTTGGGTTTTGGAATCCACACCTGGCTGCTCCTGAACATCAGGCTGCTCTGTTTCGGAAAACGCCTCAGAAGGGAACCAAAATAAGTGCTTTTGGCTGAGTAATGAGACAGGCCATTCAGTTGGCTCTGGTGTTTTTCGGCCGTCTTTCCCCATTGAGTCATCATCTTCCTTGTCTGCTTCCTCACCTTCTTCGTCATCATCGGAAAAAATGACTTTGCTCCCCTTTCTGTTGCGATCTGAAAACGACAAAGAGTCGCCATCGGGGAATTTGTCTTCATAGTCAATATGCCCCTGGGTGTCACCTGAAAATGTATAGAGAAAACAGCGTAGGTTTATTCTACAGTTAGCATTCTGATGGTATATGAGGCTTGCCATTTGGCGAAAATGCAAATGCTTGTTTTTAATATACTCACAAGAAGTGCAACTCATCTACTTTATATGTAAAATATCACCCCAGGAATTTTACAAAATGAATGTGGAAAGGACAGGGAGGGAAGTTTCTAATCTCTGCTCATTGGATAATTCTTTTCTGTTTAAATCTTTCGACAACTCAGTTGGGGAATAAATATAAATCTCAATTGAGGATTTATTTATGAAGCATTTTGGTACTGGGGCTGTGTCAGCTTTCTTGGCATCAGCTTGCACTGCTGAAATTACAAAAAAATTACAAGGTCAAAAAATAGAAGCCACTGCGCTGAAATTAGATGCTTAAGTTCAGTTCTACAGACAGTTTTCAGAAAAGGATGGAAAAAAAATGGGACACGTCACAACAGATTCGATAACGCATTCGATCATTAATGAATCTGTTATGAATACTATATTTTTAGCCCGCTCGGTTGACATAGAATGCTGTGAATATCTTTATTCAGACCATTTGTTTACAACTGAATGAAATACTTGATTTTTGTTTTATGTATAAAGACATTTTTTAAAAATCCTGGCTCCTGATCATTACTTATATGGACGGAGGCTACTGTATGACTGAGTATGGAATCAGTTGGTGTAACACATAAGTGGACCCCATTTCATTCATATTTTGACTGAGGCAGGTATCATAGCAGTGACTGATTCTGACCTTTCACACTATGCACATTTTCTAGCAGTGAGCAGCAGCCGGAACGTTAGTTTATATTTCCCCGTTCCAGCCTGGAGATCTGCAGCCAATTTTAGCACATCCACTATCATCATGAATCATTTTGAAGTGGCTCCCCAGTTATGCGACTGAAGACGCAGTTTCCACCTTGCTGAGAATGGCAAGTGATGTTTTTTTCTCTCTCACTTCAACCCAGCCCAACTCCATGAAGCTAACGCTGGCAGAAGAAAACCAGGATGAAACACTAACCATATAAAAGCTTCTATTCATCCATTTAACATCAAAGAAAATAAGCACCACTCCTCCATTCTGAAGCCTCGATTTCCATTCTGAGTAACCCAGAGGGCACAGTTAGGTGCGTGCAATATTCTGCAATCGTCTCTGTTTGTCTTGAGAGGCCTGAAGTGCCTCTATAGAAAGTAACCTTGCCTAGTGCTGGTATGTAGCAAAGAAGTGCAACAACCACCATATTTAGCCACTGACAATGTTTAAAATAATCTCACATCTTTCCCTCCCTCCTTTGCAAGCTTTAAAATGATTTTGATTTGCACATGGGTGCAAGGCACGCCTTTTAATAAGCAGCTGCATGTAATGTTCCTGGCCTCTTTGAAAGGAATCTGTGTAATGTCCAATTCGGTAGTGTATTGGAAGTCAAGCACAGTCAGATCACAGGGATTTACAACAACAACTTGCATTGCCACAAGGTCAGAGCTTGTCCATGGGAAAGACAATCGCAGGAACGATGAAGATGATGCCAGAGACAAGTCCTCATCTCACCCTCAGACACTGTTCATAGTGTCTGAGGGTGAGATATAATTCAGCGGTCAGACAGTCCAGTGTGAAGAAGGGTGAAGCTGCTGTAGCCATTTTAGCCCATACATACCTGAGCTCGCATTTCCTCAACACTAGCCTCAGTTATTAACCTCTCACTGGTGCTCTGTGCTGAGCTGCTTTGCTGTAATTATGGGCTCTCTAATGCAGAATAAATAAGGATGTTTCCAAATCCATGCCTCTCACCCTCAGTCTACTTAGAGCAACTTGAATATCCCTGTGTTTTCTGTGGAACACAGTGCTCATTCATGGTGGGGCACAAAGCAGGAAACACTAACTATGAGGAATCATTGTACCTCTGGAAATCCCTTAGCTAAGACTTGCACAGCTCCAGTTACTTCACGTCTGTGACATAATCCTATACCATTCTACTTGATATATATATATATGTATATATTACTGCCATTTGATAGATGTTTCTAGCAGCAGCAAGTAAAGACAGTTATGTTGCATGAATTTTTAATTTTAACGTAACGACTACATGCAAATCATAAACAAATATTTATCTGGTGGTATTTTTAATTTGAAAAATGGATATGAAAATTCATAAATAGAAACAATTAGCCTCTGAAAAGAATATTAGAGTAAAACGTGATCCTCTTCCTGGGCTGTGGATGTGTTGCTGCTTTTATAAAAGCCTTACTTTTCTCTGTCCTGCTTGATAGGGCAACAAAAATGCTACTGATGAGACAGAAAGTTCTGCCAGCAATAACTTCTCAGAGCACCGCAAGTTTCCTAAATAAACAGTAACCTGTTGACAAGGAAATTCTCAGCAGCCTTGAATCCTCACAAAATGCTGTTCAGTAGGCCGAAGCATTTTCCATTTTGAAGAATTTGTAAATGTGTTTTAACAGTCAATGCACAGCAGTTCCCACTACTGTTTTTGCATTAGTTGCCAAAATAGTTACAGAAGTCCAAGCTGGTCTTCATTGCATGTTTCTGCCACTGATTAGCGGTGAGGGGTCAATTATTTGTGGCCTTAGGTTCAATTTCAGGATCAGACTGGCTCAGTCGGTAGCACTCTTGTCTCTAATACAAAAGGTTGCGGATTGAAGCCCCACATCAGGACTTTGAACTCAAATGTTGGGGGATGCTATTTTGTTCAAGGTGTCATCCTTCAGATGAGATGTTAAACCATGATCCTGCCTGCGTGTTAGGTGGACAGTAAAGATCTCATGGCACTATTTCAAAAAAAGGGAGTTTCTTTCCGTGTCCTTACCAACAATCCCCCCCAGATAAAATTTGGCACTCATTTAATGGCTGTTTGTAAGCCATTGCAGTGTCCAAATTTGCTACTGTGTTCATCTACAAAGTACAGGGTCACAACACTTTACAGTAAATCCTATGAACTACATAACCAACCTACTACCACGAAGAAAGCACATCCTCTTAGCTCACTATGTCTCAGGCAAGAACTGAGTTGCTCCCACAAGACCATCGACCAGCAGGTACAGAATTATCCTTTCTCACTGTGTTGTAAACATCAGAGACAATTTATTCTCATCACCTCCAATAATGCAGCATCTCACCAGGACTGTATTGCAGTGTCAACCTAGACTATTGAGTTCAAAGTCCTGATGTTGGACTTGAACCCATAACCTTTTAACTTAGGGGTGAAAGTGCTATCAATTGAGCCAAGCTGACACATAAGCTATGAACAGTGCCTTGAGAAGTTAGGGCAGTTTTCACTAGAGTTGAGAAGGTTGAGGAGTGAACTGATGGATGTATGTAGGGAGGGCTACGACAGGATAAATAAGTAATTGATTATTTCCACTTGTCAGTGAGTCACTAAGAAGAGCTCACAACTTTAAGATTATCACAAAAAGAATTAATGGAGAGGTTTCACTTCTTTACATAATATTTGTTGCTGAAGCAGAGTCTATTCTGTATTTTAAAAAGGAATTATAAATAATCCTTGCATTTGACATAGAGCCTTATGTCATCAAGATGTCTCAAAGTAATTCACAGAATATACTGTAAAGTGTAGTGACTCTGTATTTGTAGGTGAAAATGGCAGCCAATTTATGCACAGCAATACCCCACAAACAGCCATGAAGTGAAAGACCAATTTTATTTTGGGGGATTGTCCGTCAGAACACGAGGAGATGATGGTTTAGAGATAGAAACACTGCCTTCTCTGTTAGAATAGTGCCTTGGGATCTTTAACGATCTTGGAGTCCTGTAGCTTAGTGGTTAAACCACTCGCCTCGCAAGCGAGAGAACCTGGGTTCAATTCCCGGGCAGAGCGAAACATTGGGCAAGTTTCCTGACTCCACATACCTCTGTTTACCTAGCAGTAAGTAGGAACCCAGTTGTTAGTCAATTGGCAGATCACTTTTCCGGGGGTAATAATCCCTTCAAAAAAAAAATAATAATTTGGTCACTCAATCCACGACTGTTTGTGGGACACTGCTGTGCCCAATTGAATGCCGCATTTTGCCCACAGTATATATATAGTCAATTCATTTTACAGTATATTCTGTGAAGCGCTGTGAGATGTCTCGAAGATGTGATAAGGCGCTATATCAATCCAAGGATTATTATTATTATGTCCACCTCGACCAACAGACAGAACCCAAGTTTAATGTCTCAGCAGAAAGATTGACAAGCACCTCTGACAATGCAGCACACCCCTTGAATTGGAGCGTCAACTTAGACTGTATAGGCTCCAAGTCTCGAAATGGAGTTGAACACATCATTTTCTGACTCACAGGCAAGAGTGCTACCAACTGAGCCAGGCTAATACTCATTAACAGGACGCATTTTCAAGAATATAATAATAATAAAAATCCTTGCATTTAATATAATGCCTTAATGTCGTTCAGCTATCTCAAAATGCTTCAGAATATATTGTAAAGTGAATAGACTGTATATTAGAGTATGAAAAGTGAGCAGAAGGGTGGGATCAGATTAATTGACATGGACAAAAACAATAGCACATATTTGATGGGCAAAATGGCATATTTCATGCTGCAACTTCTACGATTCTATAATATTCAAACCGCTAAGGATGTTAAGAGCACCAAGTTGCCAAATGTCAGTGTGTGTCCTTGAAATCTGAGGTGGATTCACAGACTTATTTTTAGGTACAAAATCTTCACGTGGGCAACAGGCCAATAATATCCTGGCCAAATAAAGGTAAATGACTGCTAGCATTGTTTTATAAGCCCTCAGAGATTCCAATTTTAGTTCCCTGTTTGTGAGTTCAGCATTGGCACTACTGTGAAAACATTTACAACTTTTAACAGATTCACGCAACTAATGTCAACATCGTACAGCCAGAAAATCAAATCCAGTGGAGACCTTTCTATGCCAATTTCAACCTGCTGTTTTCACCTTCATCAAACAGGCCCTTACTCACTCCAACATAATGTAGACTTGCTGACAGAAACATCCAAGGTGAAATGTTTGCAATAAAATCACTAGGAAATAAATTTGCTTTATCTACTGGCTGCTGCTGTAATTTTATAATTATTTCTGAAATACACATCTGGGAAAACAACTGGATTAGAACTCATTGGAAGATTTTTAGGATCTCTAACATGATTTCCTAATAAGAGCTTACAACAGCTTACAAAAATACATATCCTTCTCAGAGCCAGAACAATGATTCACCAACCTCATGGTAACTCTACTCTGGAAGTAGATAGCATCAGAGCTGAGTTCCTCCAAGTTGGGATATGCATTAGCCTGGCTCAGTTAATAGCATTCTTGCATCTCAGTCTGAAGGTTATGGGTTCAAGCCCCATGTCAAGACCTTGAACTCATATACTTAAGGCTGACACCACAATGCATTGCTGGGGGTATAATTCTTTGTCAGACCCTCTGTCTCTCAGATGAAATGTTAAACTGCCTGTTTAGGTGGACGTTAAAGATTCTGTTATGCTATTCCAAAAGAGAAATAAGTTTATCCCTGTATCCTGACCAACAACCCCTCAAGTAAAAATGGTTGTTCACTTCACGGCTGTTTATGGGACATTCCTGTGCACAAATTAACTGCCGTAGTCCCCTAAAAATACAGTCACTACACTGTACTGAAAATCTGTGAAGAGCATTGAAACGTTTCAACATGAGGCATTATATCAAATGCAAGGATTATTATTTATTTAATAAAATGTATTATTTGTGAAGCACACCAATAAAACCCTTTGTGTTGACCTCCTGTAGGATGAAACAGCATATGGCTTGGAGAATAATTTCTTTGATAGATTTACAGTTTTTTGTCACAGAAATGTGTATTGCAAGGCACTGTCATTTGTAATTTTAGAATTATTATTAGTATCCTGTAGTAAACCTGTAGTAATCAATACAATTTAGACTATGTTAGGGCAACTGTTATCTCAAGACCAAAGTTTAAAATCCAGTCCAGACTGATAGGATGGAGGTCTCCTCTGGCTGCAAGGATCCTACAGCACTACAAGACATTATCCTACATGAATATATATCCGTGCTATATAAATGCACATTGTTATTATTATACATAAAATGTTTCTCTTTAGGTCTTCTCACACAACATACTATTTTCCAACTGAGAGAACAGCCAAATGGTTTGCTTCCAGAATTCTACCATGTTCCTCTGTAAAACTTTGCATCAGTTTCCGAGTCAGAAGATTGAGGATTCAAGCCCACATTGGGACCTGGACTCCCATAGTCTAAGCTGACACTCCAATGCAGTGCTGGGGGTGCATTGCATTGTTGGAGTTATTGACATTAAATGAGATGTTAAATCCGAGCGTCCTGTCTGTCTGCTCAGGTGGACGTTAGATATCCCATAGCACTATTCAACAACAACAACTTGGATTTATACAGCGCCCTCCACGTCAGACAGCATCTCAGAGCCCTTCATAGTAACAATCCCAGGGCCGAGCCGGAGGAGGGGGAGGAAGGTGACCAAAGGCGCGGTCGAAAAGAAAGGTCTTCAGGCAAGACCTGAAAATAGGAAGAGAGGGACAGGCGAAGGGAGTGAGGAAGGGAGTTCCAGAGCCTTGGGGCATAGTGGCTGAAGGCACGGCTGCCGTGGGTAGAGCGGAGGACTCGGGGGACAAGGTGGAGGCCAGACCCGGTGGAATGAAGGCAACGGACACTGTTGTGAGGAGACAGGAGGTCAGAGAGGTAGGGGGTGCAGAGGAGTGGAGGGATTTGAAGACAAGGGTGAGGATCTTGAAGTCGATCCTCTCTGGGACAGATTCAAATAGAGAAGGGTGTTTCTCCCAGTATCCTGGTCAACAATCCCCCAAATAAAATTGGTCACTCACTCCATGGCTGTTAGTGGAACATTGTGTGCAATTTGCCTACAAATAGGGGAATGGGCTGGTTCGGAGGAATTGTCTGTGAAGGGAATGGGCTGGGAACTGGAATGGACTAGGAGGGGAATGGTTAATTATCCTATTTATAGCAAAAAATCTCTCATGGAAGTCAAAAGTATCTTCTTCTCACATTACAGCTTCTGTCTATAAAAGTTACCCAAATACGATTGGTCTTACCTTAGTTCCATATTTCAGAATTTAATAAATTGAGCAGTGAGCAGTAAAACTGTGACTAATTTACCTCCAGCATATTATGTGGTGAAACACTATACACACAATTAATTTCAGTGTACCACGCTTCTCCCCAGGCACCAATTACTGAAACACAACTACACTGCACCTGGGGAAATGGCCAATTTCTTTGATTGGAAACAAATATTTAAGGTTGCGAAGGGAAATAAAAAGTGTTTAATTTGGCAAACCCAAGAAACCAACAAGCAGAACTTTCCAAAGAAAAATACATCAAGGCAACTGTATTATTTAACATGCCTGTAAAATAAAATCCAACTTCAGACTCAGACTATGCCAATGTTCAGCATTCTGAGATGCTATCGCGTGTGAAGGGCGATGTATAAATGCAGATTGTTGTTGTTGCGGAACATTGGAATTTGCTACTGCATCTCACTCACCTTTCATACAGACTTGAACATGGCCGTACCATTCTCCGCAACTATCACATAAGAGGCTGAAGACACTCTCCTTGTTTGTCATAATATAGCCGTGAGTGCAGACATACAGCACCTCATCTCCCATTTCAATGTGTGTATGGCTCTCCAGAATTGTGTTGGGAAAAGAAGGAGGATCTCCACACGGGTTGCCTGCAGAGAGGAAAGAAAAATTAGCAAGTGTTGATTTCATTTTTAAGACATTTCCTAAACTCGGTGTGATTCATTTTATAGTTACAGGGGGAAGGGGAACATCCAGAAGTCGTGGTCCATGTTAGGATCCATGACATAGGGAAAAAAAGAACTGAGATCCTACAGGGAGTGTATCAGAAGCTAGGGAAAAAGCTAGAGTAGGACTTCAAAGGTGGTGATCTCTGGATTATTCCCAGTGCCTTGTGCAAGTGAGTATCAAAACAGCAGGATCAAACACATGAATGCATGGCTGGAGAAACAGTGCAGAAAGGAGGGCTTCAGGTTCCTGGATCATTAGGACCAGTTCTGGGGCAGGTGGGACCTGTACAAGGTGGATGGTTTATGCCTGAACAGGGCTGAGAACAATGTCCTTACAGGGAGGTTACCTACTGCTGTGGGGAAGGGATTAAACTAATTTCAAGGGAGGAAGTGAATCAGGATGTAGCATCAGAGAGGACAAACAAGTTACATAAAGGGCTGGGAGAGACAAATACAATGTAATTCAATGTTTTCCAAAAAAAGGAGGGATTAGACGGAGAGAAATGCAGAGCAGACTCAGTTGGTCTTGGAATGCATGTGTGTAAATGCACAAATAAGATTGGTGAGCTGCAGGCTCAAGTGGCGAACATGGGGTTATGATGTAGTGGCAATAACGGAGATCTGGCTCAAACAAGGTCAGGAATGGGAACTGAATATTCCTGGCTACAATGATTCCAGGAGGGATAGGGAAGGGGAAAAAAGACAGTTGTGGCGATATTGATTAAAGACATGGTTACAGCCCTGGAAAGGGATGATGTGCTAAAGGGTCCAAAAACAGAATCTATTTGGTCAGAGTTAAGGAGCAGAAAAGGAGCTGTTACTCTGTTAAGTGTATAGTATAGACCATCAAATAGTGGGAAGGGAATAGTGGGAAGGGAATAGTTGGACAATCAAATCTGCAAGCAGATTTCAGAAAGATGCAAAACCAATAGAGTAGTGATAATGGGGGACTTCAATTATCCTGACATAGACTGGCAAAATAACAATATAAAGGGCAAGGAGAGGGAAGGATTCCTGAAATGTGTGCAGGATAACTTTCTGGATCAGTATGTTTCCAGTCCATCGAGGAAGGAGGCAGTGTTGGATCTAGTTCTGGGGAATCAAGTGGAGCAGGTTTCAGTAGGAGAGCCTCTGGACAACAGTGATCACAACATCATTAGGTTTACAGTACTTATGGAAAGTGACCAGGAGCAATCAAAGGTGAAGATATTCAACAGGAAGAGGGCTAATTTCAGTGAGTTAAAAAGGGACTTAGCCAAGGTTGACTGGAAAGAAAGATTGGCAGATAAAACAGCTAATGAGCAATGCGAAGCCTTCAAGGAGGAGATAGTTTGGCAACAGAACAAATACATTCCCACAAAGGGGAAACATACGGCATCCAAACCTCCCTGGATGAATAAGGAAATTAGGATTAAAATAAAACAGAAACAGGAGGCTTGTGATAAATGTCAGGTCCAAAATACAGAAGATAATCAAATAGAATATATAAAGTACAGAGGATAAAGTACTTTCATTAGAGGTATATGAAGAGGATAAAGTACATATATAAAGTACATTCTTCCCTCTCCTTGCCCTTTATACTGTTATTTTGCCAGTCTATGTCAGGATAATTGAAGAACTGGAAAAGGAAATAAGAGGGGCCAAGAGATTGTATGAGAAAAGATTAGCAGATAACATAAAAGGGTATTTTATAAGCATACAAAGAATAAAAGGTTAGTCAAAGGTAGGGTGGGTCCAATTAGGGACTGAAGAGGAAATCTTCATGTGGAGGCAGAGGACAAGGCTGACGTATCGAATTACTTTTCATCTGTCTTCACAAAAGAAGAGGATGCAGCCAATGCCACAGTATCGGAGAAGAGGGTAGAAATTCGATAGAATAAGAATAAGCAGAGAGGAGGTACTAAAAAAGTTGTCGGTGCTTAAGGTAGATAAGTCACCCGGTTCGGATGGGATGCATCCTAGATTACTGATTACTGAGAGAAGTAAGGGTGGAAATAACAGAGGCTCTGGCCACAATCTTTCAATTGGACACTGGGGTGGTGCCAGAGGACTGGAGGGTTGCAAATGTTACTCCCCTGTACAAAAAGGAGCAGAAGGATAAACCCGGGAACTACAGGCCAGTCAGCCTAATGTCAGTAGTGGGAAACTTCTAGAGACTATAATCTGGAACAAAATAAATTTTCACTTAGAAAAATATGGGTTAATAAAGGACAGTCAACATGGATTTGTTAAAGGCAAATCATGCCTAACAAACTAGAAGGTTATGCTTGAAGGCTTAGTTGAGGAAGGGCAGGAGGAGGCTCATGTGGAGCATAAACACCGGCATAGGCCAGTTGGGCCGAATGGCCTGTTTCTGTGTTGTATATTCTAATGTATTCTAATGCAAACTGATAAAAGTTTTTGATGAAGTAACCGAGAGGGTGGATGAAGTGCAGCTGATGTAGTTTATATGGATTTTCAAAAGACGTTTGATAATATAATATATAATAATCCTTGCATTTGATATAGTGCTTTTCATGTCTTCTAGACGTCTCAAAGCGCTTCACAGAATATACTGTAGAGTGAATTGACTGTACATTTGTGGGCAAATCATGGCAACCAATTGCGCACAGCACTGTACCTCAAAAACAGTTGTAACTAAATTGAGTGACCAAATTATTATTATTATTTTTATTGAAGGATTATTATCCCCGGGAAAAGCGATCCGCCAATCGACTAACAACCGGGTTCCTACTTACTGCTAGGTAAACAGAGGCATGTGCAGGTAGGAGAAATTTTTTCACACAGCAAATTCGGATCTGGAGTGCATTGCCTGAAAGGGTGGTGGAAGCCGATTTGATAACAACTTTTAAGCGAGAAGTAGATAATTATTTGGGGAGGACAAATTTGAAGGGCTAAGAGGAGAGAGCTAGGGAATGGGATTATTTTGAATAGCTCTTTTCAAAGAGCTGGCACAGACATGATGGGCTGAATGGCCTCCTTCTGTGCTGTATAATTCTGTGATTCTAGTTATTGCTGTAGAATCAGATTTGTAGAAATTACAGAGTTGGAAGAAACTGTTCAGCCTACCGACACTAAACTGGTGCCAGCACATCCCAAATCAATTAAAATATGTTTTATTCGTTATAATGCAGCACATGAAGTGCTTACATTTTCAATACGTCTCATGTGAGTTGGCTACTGCTGTTGGCTGTAATTCAATTTGGTAGTGCTCGCCCTCACCTAGTGAGTGGTAAAGTATGACTAATTTACCTCCAACCTATTGTGTGATGAAACATTGTACACACAATTAATTTAAGCGTACCGTGCAGTAAATTACTCTATTCTATAACACAAAGTGAAATTATATGTACTATGGATAAAACTTACTTTAACTACGTGATGGAGTGTACAGATTTACCTCAAGTACATCACACAATAAGAGTGCATTCACAATAATAATAATCCTTGATTTGATATAGCGTCTTATCACATCTTCAAGACGCCTTAAAGCACTTCACAGAATAGACTGTAAAGTGAATTGACTCTATATTTTGTGGGCAAAACGCGGCAGCCAATTTTTAAAAAAGGGATTATTACCCCCGGAAAAGCAATCCACCAATCGACTAACTACTTACTGCTAGGTAAACAAAAGGCATGTGTGTAAGGAAACTTGCCCATAGTTTCGCCCTGCCCGGGAATGAAACCCAGGTCCCCTCGCTTGCGGTTACCATTCTCACTGTTAAGCTTAGGATCTGATAGGAGTGAACAGGATGAAGACAAAACACTATTTCTTTATTACAACAAGCATTCACAAAGGCTGCTTTCTCAAAGACTGGTTTAAATAATATGCTTGTTCGAAAGGTGCGATTGTTCCCTTGTTAACTAAACTAAAACAAACAGAACAGGACAGACAACTCACTCAATTCAATTCAGACCAATTCTCTCTCTCTCTCACTAAAATAAGAATATTTACTCACTTTGATTAATCCCAACCCGTGCTAGTTAACTCTACTGTTCCCCCAAGTGTGTATGATTCAGTGCGGTGGGTCGAGACGGCATCACAAGGTTCTCATGTAATAAATCATGTAGTAAAATCCTGACAAACCTTGTCTGTTAGTAAACTGTAAGATTAGAAACTAGCTGTTCATCTCAAGAAAATCATATGAGAAAATAATGCAGAGAGATTATCCTAGCCACATCACAAAATCAAATCAAGATTTTACAACATTAAGAACAAATACCTTAAATCTATTGCAGTGAAGCTTCACAAGTTCATGTTTGTTTATTACCTTAATTTCACATCTTGAAACAATTAAGTGTTTTTTTAAAAAAATCATTTTTTTATTATGGGATCAATACAGGCTACTTGGATTTTGGTTCCAGAAAGTGGCAAATCGTAATTTGCAGGAGTTAAAAGGCACAGTCAGAAAAGCAAAATGATCATCGGAAATATGTTAATAATTAAGCAGCATAAAAAATCTTTAATGTCAGGGGGGAAAAAGTCACTAAAACCATAAATAATTCTATTGTCTTTGCTCATTAACATTCAAGTGATATTCCTTTTTTAAAGGAATCTTGCTTTTTTTACAAGTCTGTTCCAAATCACCAATGTCTTGAGACTATAGCTCGCAGCACAAAAGAAAAGCACATCGAAGCACATAAATCTTGATTTTTACATTATTGCTGAGATGTAACCTTTTTATGATTGCATGAAATAAAGGCAGATCATGTTGGATTGTTTGCTATAGTTTCTTAAGAGCATAAGAAATCATGGACAAGAAAAGCCTTTTGGTTCATCTCTCTCACCTCTTTCACTCTGTCAACAACATCACTTGGGAGAAAGTTCTGTATTAATATTCCCTGATCTCCATTCAAGTCCAAACTCCAGAGTATTCGTTCAACTATCCCCACACCCACTGTTCAAGTTGCTCTGTTTTCCG